CTATCTTCGGAGCGGCCGGCGGGCTTGAGTGAGCTGCGGCCGGCGGGTTTGACATCGGAACGGCCGGCAAGCAGGAGAGAGCTGCCACCGGCGGGCTTGACTCCGTAGCAGCCAGCGGGTCTGACATCGGAACGGCCGGTGGGCTGGAGCTTCGGAGGACAGCTGGGAATTTGGGGTTGGGCAGGTGGTAGGAGCCGTTGGAGAGGTATGTGGAGGTTCTCGGCGTGGGGGGAGCTGGGGAGACGCGGCGCGTTCCAGCGGGAGTTGGATGACGAGGCTTGGGAAGTTTCTTTACTTCTTCAACTTCGAAATCTGAACCATTTAAGAACAGCACGAGATTAATCGGCTCGATCAGGGGAAAATCACACGTAGGAAGATCGCAGCAGATTATCTAGTCATCCAACCCCAGCAGGAAGCACGCACCTAAAGCGGCGTCGTGCCAGCTCACCCGGTTAGAGAGCTCGAGAAAACCCTCCACATATCGCTCCAACCTCAGACCGCCCTATCGCAAACCCCACAGCGCGTCCTCAGCTGCAGTCATCTTTTTTAGGTCCGGTATTATGTCACAACTGCCTACTGTGGCGGAGATGAGGAGACGAAGGTGCACGGAAACCAAGAGGATTAACATCAAATGTATTTATTTACGCAAACAACGAGGAACACAGGCAGGATCACACATGTAGACTCAGGGGTAGACGGTCAATACAGAACAAAGCCAGACTGCACAGACTCGAACTAAAATACACAAGGAAACGAGGATGATAACTAGACACACCTGGAACACATTGGAAACAATTAGGACAGGAACAGGAAGGACCAAATATGGGCATAAACACTGGGACACAGGGAGCACATGGGGAACAAAACACAACACAAGCCTGACACTGTTTAATACATGTGTGATACTCAGAATATGGTTATTTTAACAACTATGTGATTATAATAAATTAGTCAGAGCTGAAATCTGGCAAAACCATTCTGTAGTTTCAGATCAATCATTCACCGAAGGGAATGCCAGATTTGTTCTTTTTTGCAATTGACATTATTCAAAATGCCATTTTTGATGGTTTGTTTGTTCTAGTTGACATAGAATCATCTGTATATAAAGTTTAGTTACAACATAATGTTTTGGGAGTTTGAAAGAACATAAGTAAAAAGAGAAAGAGAGAGAGAGAGAGCAAAATGGATGAGACAGAAAGGTTAGAGAGTGAGTCATTTGAGACACTTCTTCTATATGTGTATGTATGAAGGGTCAACAGTGTTTAGTTGAACTCAAAGTCTTTCACTGTACTGGGATTTCCACGTGAAGAAAGCATGTTCTTCATATCATGCTATGATGTACATTAGAAACTAAATATACATATTTTCTTAAAACGTTCTGTGTGACAGAAAAGAGCCAGCCACCATGTGCATATAAAGTTGTGGAGCTGAACTATGGTGTATTTATGTTGCTCTACAGATGCTAGGGTGTGGCTATATAGTTTATATGGTGACATTTCAAGACTTGCCAGTCTGAATCAAAAGAGCCCAACCCCATGCTTCTACTGTACAATGTTCTGGTGCTGAAATATGGCTTATTTATGTTGCTATATGGTTTCTAGGGTTCTTTAAATAATTGCTAAGGCATTGCTAGACAAGGAGACATTTGAAGACTACTGGCCATTCTGAGTCAAAAGAGTCCTCCTCTCTATGATGTTCTGATCCAGATATGGTCCTCTAATTATTTTTCAGTGGATGTCTATGGGGTTGTTGCTAGGGGTGCTGTAACTGGTTGCTAGGATGTGGCTATGAAGTTGTTATTGAACTACTGCTTGATAGGCTAAGTCAAATGAGCCCACCCCATACCTCTAAGACTTTCTGATCCAGAGATATGATCTCACAAATTTGGTTCCAATGTTAAGCCTATGGGACTTTTCGTCTAGTTTTCGCCCACTGAAAGCTTATAACCGCACAGTTTGAAACCTCATTCATGAGTCTATGACAAATGGGGTGGGACAAGTCACACACCTAAGTTTTGTCCAGAAGAACAACAATAGGTATGCAAGAGAAAGGGAAAAAAATACAAAAACAGCACGTTTCAAGTGTTATGCAAGTGAATTTAAGTCAGATGTTTGTCCAGTCATATCAACATACGCCCACATCAGTAAAAGACACATCAATACCTATACTGACACACACACACCCACACACACACACACACACACACTCATTAGGAGTCACAGGTAATGGGAAAATCCACCCTGACATACTCATGTAATCCCGCCTGCATGAGTAAACTGGCATTTCTCAGCATGCACACCCGCAGTGGCATAGCTGTGCTTATGGTAAGTTGTATTTTGGCTTCCTGTCTTTTTGTTGAACCACATTTTGTGGTCATCATGACAGTAAATCACAGTTTAAATCTTAATTTTATAACCTGTGTTTAAACACTTGAACTATGAAACACAGTTGGGCTATGTGGACTTTTAAGTAACAATATATTTTTAACAAGTGAGTGCAGTATGTGACAGTAATATTTTTGGTCTAAAACAAGAATAAAAAAACTTAAATCTTAGAGCAAATGTCTTTAAAAATTAATTTTCAGTTTAGAGCTGCACTAGAATATAAATGCAAAGCTAACACACATGAACTAAAACCACAAACATCAGCTTTCCTTAATGCCACAAGTTACTGTCAGAACAGTTTGTTAGTTAAGTTAAAAATGTACTTTATTTGATAACATCAAACTGAATAACATTAGTAAATCAAGCTTCAATACATCACACCAAACCAACATGTTTTATCTAAATTTCTACTAAATTTAATGAGTATTAGTCTTGTAGAACTATACCAACAAACTACAGTACCACTAGCTATGTTTCCATCCAAAGTTCCGAATTAAACTTGTGCGTAAAATTGGAATATCGCATAAAACATTTGCGAATAAAGCACCGTTTCCATCCAGTGAGTTGAAGAGAACAAAATGATCACTTCCTGATTAACTCGCGCTAAACATCACGAAGAAAAATGTAATTTGCTGCAGTAGGAGAAGGCACCGTATATGATAATTTTAGTATCCAATAAATTACGAGCTTCAGAGCACGCAGACTAAACACGGTCACGTTATCTTATTTTCGGAGTCTGCTGTTTGGGAACGCAGTTCTGGGAGTTAATTATAATGCAACACTTTGCTCAAGCATTTTAGAATGACAAAACTAGCCTTTCAGATGCTTTGCAACAAGATCGGTCCGCTGGTTAGTCAAGTTATCCCATCCCATCCCATCGCAAAGTCGCATGTCTTTTTTGATGCGCCTTAAGAAATTTATTTCCATTACAGTTTATGCTCATGTTTTCTTATTGGATAAGAATTTTATCCTACTTAGTTGAGTGCATACGTTTTTTTATGCACATTTTTAGAATTTATGCGCATCTTGATGTTTCCATCCAGTGTTTTTTTTTTTTATGCAATATCCCAAAATGCGCATAAAAATGGGTGGATGGAAACATACAGACTGATGAATAAATGCTGAAAACTGCAGAAAAAAAACAGATACATGAATATGATGGACTCATATTGGCCTCACTGCTGTATTATCTAAAGATTTTTGATGTTGAACTTACCGAACCACTTTTGTTCCATTTCTGATCACTTGCATGTCCACACTGCATGTGCCATTAGCATGAGCCACAAGGTTGATCTCCGAGAACTCGGCCTGAAACAAAAAGAAACATACAAATAAATATAGGTTACACATTATTTTGATAGTCCACATACCTTCTGATGTTCATTCATCTTTATTTTGCTCTGTAACTTGTAGTAAACTAGAAGAGATGAATAGTTGCCTCTTCAGCTACACAGGCAGATACAGCGATCCATCATGCCACATCAAAAGAGTGCCAAAATGGCATTTAATGTACAGATTGTGTGATAAAATGAACATAATTCAAAAGCTGAGCATTTGTTTCTTATCAGCAGTAAAAAAAAATAAATAAATAAAAAACACAAAGCTTATTGTGATTATTGGATGGAAGGCGCTACAAAAATAGCAGTTAACTTAAAACAGCAGACTAAAAGATTGATTTTGATTTTGCATTTAAGAATTGACATATAAATATATATATATATATATATATATATATTTATTAAACAAGGCAAATTAGCATGAGAGCGCAATTCCATAAATGCTCCGATGGGAGGGGAAACTTATGCGGGTGATGTATTGACAATGTGTAGATTAAAGAACTCAGACGCAGCAGATCATTGCCATAATAACCAGCGCAATCTACCAAGAGCAGCACAAATTACCACCTGCTTTAAGACATGCTTTTCGGGCGATAAATAATGGTGCAAATACCAGTAATTTGACCAGCGCAAACGTTAGTAAATCAAGTTGCGTTATTCAGTTTAATACTCTCCTCCTACAAATTTTTCATCTGAAAGGGAATCTCCTACAAATGCATATTCAATAAGGTCAGGCACAAAAATCAGAATCAGAATCAGAATCAGAAGAGCTTTATTACCAAGTATGTTTACACAGACAAGAAATTTGACTTGACGACAGGAGCTTCCAGTGTAGAAGAAAGTACAAACATAGTGCAGACATACAACATAGTGCAGACATACATAGGAATAACACAGTAGGGATGTAATATAAAACTAATATAAAAAAAAAATTTAAATAATGTACTATGTACAGAAATAGTACATTACAAAATTACAATATTACAAAAATGTAACCAATGGCACGGGCGGTCTCTTTAGTGGCGCGGAGAGACAAATCACCGGTTCTCCTGAGCACGGTAATATGGCCCACCAGCGCTGAGGTTGTGCGCAGCGGCTTGGAGGGCAATGCCGGAGCCTTTAGAGACGACGCCGCGCCGGGAGACAGATAGCTCGCAAGCGTCTGTTCTACCCGGGGCATCGTCTTGTAACCGCGCTCATTCATCCCCGCCACATTGCCATAATAATCGGAGGCGGGAACAAAGAGGAGGGCCGAGAACGGTCTTCCACACGACTTCGACACCTCGGTGTGGAGGTCGAGGAAAAAAGGCAGGCTCCGGCGAGGAGGTGGTGGCTTAACACGCAGAAAATGCTCGTCTAATTTACTCTTCTCTAGCCATTTTCTCGGCGGGCCACTCGATATTTAATTTGGCCACAGCACGAGTTACCACCTCCAAAAGCTCCTCATACTGGGGCAATTGAGGGGGCGAATCCTCATCGACGCCCACCACATCAAGAGGAAGACCGGCGGAGCGCCGAGCCTGCTCCCCGGGGGGAAGTAGCCGCAGAGCGGGCTTCCGATCCCGGAGAGCGAGTGCTGGATCTGGCGGGTGAGGAAGAAGATAGGGACTCGCCCGTCCAGTTCCAGCTGCGAACCCCACGAGCGTAATTGCCGCTCCGCGGGGAACGCTAGCGGAGGCACCCTCCTCAAAGAGTGCCTTCCGGGAGCGGAGAACATGCATGGGAAGCCGCTCGCAATGCGGGCAGTCAGCCCTCTCAAGAGCTGACTCAGCATGCTCCGCTCCCAGGCAGACAACGCACAAACTGTGTGTATCCCCACCCGTAATGAAATGCGGGCAGGGAGGAACACACAGTCTGAAACGCTGCCCACCCTCGCCCTTGCTTAACTGGTGTCTCTTTTTCTCATGTGCTTTAGACATTGTATCTTTTTATTTTTCAGATTCTCTTTTTTTTGGGACAGACAACACCAAATAAGACTCACAACTGACACACACACAGAGCGCTTGCTGAATGACAGAAAGCTGACGCTGGTCTCACCGCACGTGCTTTTATAGCTTCCTGGTCATTACGTCACCCGCCCGTGACGTCTCGCCCATCTATTGGTCTGATTACACACGAGTTCAGAGCCGGTCACGCTGAAAGGCGTTCCCCTAGCGTTTTCCGACGCAGCTCGAGTTCCTGAAGAGGAACCTTTATTTATAACATGTACATGAAAAATCTAAAAGATTAGACACAACTATGGGACAC